AGTCTTCGATGATATGTCGGCCTTTCGGATAAACGACAAGTATGTGCTACGAATTCAGCAACGGTTCGATCGAGTTGTAGTGTATTGCTTTGATACACGCGCGACGCAAATCGAAGGCCGATCTCGCGAAATCTTTCAACGCGTGAGGGAAGTAATTGCGCAAGATTCTTATATACGACACGGAATATCCCTAATGTAACGTTTCGATGGAGCAGCGTAGTAGGCTGCAATACAGCTCCGCAATATTTTTGCGGATAACAGCTCCACAATACTTTTGCGAAGATAAATTTCGCAATATTTTTGCGGATAACAGCTCCGTAATACTTTTGCGAAGACAATTCCGCAATATTTTTGCGGATAACAGCTCCGCAATACTATTGCGAAGACAATTCCGCAATGCTTTTTGCAAATAAGAACTCCGCAATATTTCTGTGAAGTTCGCTTACGACTCTTCCGCAAATACGATCCGGTGAAATTCGCAAACCTATCAAATTAATAATCGCAAGCGCGAGCGTGAATGTAAAATCAAAAACTATGAAAATTGTGACGATAGAGATAAAAATTTATTCAAAATTCACGCGAAAAAAATGTTACCGCGTGAGGCGCCTATCTCGATGGAACTCGTCGCGCGCCGCGTAAATAAACAAACAATTGCTCACATACCTAACTTGTATACATCGCGTTTTTCGCGAGGGATCAACGCTCGCTAATATTATCTATTGTTCTGCGTTAGGAAATTCTAAGTGAAAAATTGAAACCTGAAAATTTTTCGACGATCGTGAAATTAATTTCGCGAGCAGTTTAAGTAATCACATTAGATCACGCAGACGCCGCACGATATCGAAATTTATTTAATAACAAACTCTGTACTTACGAAATGCAATCGCGATGCAAACTCACGCGAAAGAAAAAACTGAGACAATTAACAACCGGCGAAAGATCTATCGAGAAGGGTGATGTAATTGCGCATTTCTGTAGCGCAATCTCTGTGGCGCAATCTCTGCGCGTTGGCGCACTGATCGAGACACCTGGAAGATCGCATTCAATAAAACTGAATAATTTTACAAAATTTTGAATTGAGAGCGTATACTCGATACTTTAATGGCATCTGCCAAAGTGTTAGGATTTAATCAAAATTTTCTTCAACAAAAATCATTGACCAATCAATAATCTAAGTTAGTCAAACAATTAATAAATATGTATACATTGAGAGAAAAATACTTGAAAATTTTCCAAATTTATAAAAATGCATTATTACTAATATTATTATTTGTAAAAGCGATCTTTCAATTATTTCGAACAATGTGATTTATTGGACGGCACATACACACACTACACCGCAGCAAAGTAAATCGCATTGATTCATAAACATGCATTACATGGAAAGACTTTTTGTCTTTCTATTACTAATTTTTTTTTGGACTCACCGACCCGCCGATCAGGGCAGCCACGTTCTGCTTTCGTTTCTAGAACAGAAATATGTTTCGCCGATTAGATTCGTGCATTGATGTTGGTTTGAGTGAAGAAGTTTGCAATATTAAAAAAAAAATAAGCGCGCGATATTTTTCACGCTGGAAGAACTTTTTGGAATGCATTCACATTTAGAATGTTCCACACTTTCCTTTTTCTCGACGATTCAAATAAATCTCTTAATTAGAACAAATCAGCATTTTTCAAGTGGTGATCATATTACTCAGGAAAAAATTCTCCCCGCGTGTAATTACGATTTAACGCGATCTTTAACTCAATTCAAATTATGTCGATTTCGAGCAGGAGAATTATCAATCTTATTGGATTTATAATTACAAATTAAATACTAATTAAGAAAGCTAACCTTCGAGCTAACCCCGCTTGGCCTGAGCCGAATCCTCCGGCACAGCAGCCCCTAAGAGTCGGCTGGTCATCTGCTTCGTCTCTGCAACAAAAAGCATATTTAATTTAGTATTACACACAACAATGAAGGCATTAAGGAACTTGATTCCAAATAAAAGAATTTCCAGGTTTATTGGATTTTTAATTACGAATTTAAATCAGTGAAACTCACCTTCGCGCCAACTCTGCCAGGCCCGAGCCGGATCCTCCGGCGCAGCATCCCCTTAGAGTCGAGTGCTCGTCTCTGCAACAGAAAGCAAATTTAATTTAGTATTAATTAGTTACATGACAATGGAAGCATTAAGAAGTCGATTCGAAGCAAGAAAATGTTAAATTTTGACAAATTTCTAATCACGAATATAAATCAATGAAGCTCACCTTCGAGCCGACTCAGCCAGGCCCGAGCCGAATCCTCCGGCGCAGCATCCCCCCAGACATCGTATCCCCTAGAGCCGCATGACTGCATCTTCTCTGTTAGATCTCTGTAACAGAAATTTAATTTAAATTAATATCAATTAGTAATTTAATAAATTAGTATGAAATAATTGCACGTGACAACAAGACGGTGAAAAGAAATTGTCGTAACGGCATGTTTGAGTTCCTTCCCAATGCACAATAAAAAATAATTAAATGATAGCCAAGTAAAAAAGTAATAATACCCGATTAATTAATAGATGATAATAATGTCTGATCGACAACTGTATAATAATGTGCGGTAGTATCAATTAATTACACACGACAGCAAGACGAGGTAAGGAAATCGTCGTAACGGCACGCTCGAGTTGCTTCCCAAAACGTAATGAAAATAGTTAAATGACAACCGTAAAGAAATAATACTCGAATAATAAATGGATGATAATAATATTTTATCGGCATTGAGGGACTCGATCGCGACGTTTCTCTATCCCCTTATAGAAATATCATACTAAGAATCATTGATAATTACTTATTTTTAGTATTAAAAATACTGGATAATAAGTAATTATCAATGATTCTTAGTATATTTCTATAAGGGTCTAACAAGTAAAAAAGTAAATGAAACGCGGTAGTTACCCGGTGCGGTAAAGCCCACAACACCTGCTCGTGTGATAAATACGCTTCTCAAACCGTGTTAATTATTGCCTTAATTGTGGCGAAGTCAAAATGCGGTATTAAAATTCGGCGCGAAATAATTTAGAAAATAACGCGGCAGCTCCCACGATACGCTCGCCTCGGCGGCTGATAGCGTTATGGCGTGACGCGCGCTGGCCGCGCCCTCCCCCCCCCCCCCCCCCC